AAACAGAGAGGAAAGAGACAGGGAGACAGAGACTATATTCTGAGGTTCTGGATGGTGGGTCACCATCAGCCTGAGGCAGCAGATCCCCTAGATTGGTTATACTGTGTCATTTCAGAACACCCCCCTCAACCCTTACCTCATTTATTTATTGACACTAGGAATTCTTTTTTTAAGAGGAAGAAATCTTTTTTTTTTAAATATATTTTATTGATTTTTTACAGAGAGGAAGAGAGAGGAATAGAGAGTTAGAAACATCGATGAGAGAAACATCGATCAGCTGCCTCCTGCACACCCTCCTACTGGGGATGTGCCCGCAACCAAGGTACATGCCCTTGACTGGAATCGAACCTGGAACCTTTCAGTCTGCAGGCCGACGCTCTATCCACTGAGCCAAACCAGTCAGGGCAGGAAGAAATCTTTTTATCCTGATTAGAAATAAAGTTTAAAGAAAAAAGGGTGGGAATGGCGATGTGTTTAAGCTCACACTTGGCTGTACAAGGTGGGTATCAGAACTTTGTCAGGAGCAGGTTTCTGTTCAGGCACGGAGTTCAAAGACAGTGTGCCAAGGGCTCAGGAAGAGGGGGAGGCAGGCTTGCAGGTGCCAAGCACACCTGTGCACTGGGCACGTGGACCAGGACCTGGGCACCCTTTACCTTCTAGAATCTATGTCTAAGCACCTTAGACTTTCTAGGAATTCAATCTATGAATTAAAGCCCAAACTACTAAACCTGCAATTACTTAGCGCTAATAACTTCAGTCTTTATGTTTCCAGTTTGTGAAGAACAGTATCAGTTTATATCTGAAAATCAAATGGTGCCCATGGTGCCTGCCAGCCCTCCTGCAAGAGTTCTGAGTTAGGTGTGAACACATAGTAGGACCACAACAGTGTAGACTTATGGCATCATCCAGCAGGAGGGGAGCTTCCAGTCACCTCCGGCAGCCTCCACGCTCATACAGGAACTCCCTTCCCAACATGCCTCTCGGGGGGCCCTCTGGTCTTGGGCTGTCTAAAACCTAGACAAATCCCATGGTGCTGAGGATAGCCTTGATTGTAGGAAAAGTTTTTTGTTATTTTTAGTCAAAATATATTCCTTTGTTTAACTTTGGTTAATTGGTTCCCCTCTAGGAACCCAGAAAACAAGGTGCCTCCTTTGACATCAGAGCCTTTGTCTAAAAGTCAGACATAGAATAGAAAGAGCGCTGGAGTAAGTTTCCAGAGTCCTGAATTTGCTCCTTCATTCTGCTGCAAATCAAATGCGTGACCTGTGCTTAAACTCAATTAGCCTTTTCCTAAGAATTTCTCTTGGGTTTTTTTCTTGGCGAGTTTCTTTTTTTAAAGATTTGCATCTGTACATTTCAAGGGGAAATACTTTTTTTTTTTTTAGCAAATCATTTTAGTTTAAATTGGGAGGTAGGGTTTAACTCTTACTTTTTCTTATGAGAAATTTCAAGGCAAGAGTCGATGTAATAGAATAATGAATGCCCCCGTAGTCAATAGCCAGCTGCAATTATCAACTTGTGATCAATCTTATTTCATCTTTATCCTCACCCAGTGTCCCTCCTCCCTGGATATGTTTTGAAGCAAATCCCAGATGCCTTACAAAATCATCCATAACATATAAGGACTCTGACTTTGTAACTACCACAATACCAATTTTATTCTCTTCCACATTAAAAATAATTCCTAAATATCTTAAACTATACAGGCAGTGCTCACATTTTTCCAACATACCTCTCTCTCTCTCTCTTTATCCCTCTCTTTCTCTCTGCTTGCTTAACATTGGATGCAAATAAGGGCCTACAATTACAATTAGTTAAATCTCTCTTAATCTACTTTTTCTTGACAATTTTATTTGTTAAAAACTAAATTACATGTAACCACTGCACAATGGGTAACATAGTAAATTTGTGTTCTGTGTTTTGTTTTGTTTTCATTTTCACCAGTTTATGTTCACATTAATGTCAGAGAAGCGGAATTTCTGGGTCAAAGGGTAAATGAATATGTAATTTCTTACAATACTGTAAAATATTACAATACTAGAGGCCCAGTGCATGAAATTTGTGCATGGGGGGGTGTCCCTCATCCCAGCCTGCACCGTCTCCAATCTGGGACCCCTTGAGGAATGTCTGACTTCCCTCTCACAATCCAGGACTGCTGGCTCCCAACCACTCGCCTGCCTGCCTGCCTGCCTGATTGCCCCTAACTGCTTCTTCCTGCCAGCCTGATCACCCCTCTAACCACTCCCCTGCCAGCCTGATCGACACCTAACTGCTCCCCTGCCAGCCTCATTGCCCCTAACTGCCCTCCCCTGCTGGCCTGGTCAGTCCTAACTGTCCTCCCCTGCAAGCCTGGTCGCCGCCAACTGCCCTCCCCTGCCAGCCTTGTCCCTCCCAACTGCCCTCCCCTGCTGGCCCAATTGCCCCCAACTGCCCTCCCCTGCAGGCTTTGTCCCCCCCAACTGCCCTCCCCTGCAGGCCTGGTCCCTCCCAACTGCCTTCCCCTACAGGGCTGGTCACCCCTAACTGCCCTCCCCTGCAGGCCTGATTGCCCCCAACTGCCCTTCCTTTCAGGCCTGGTCCCTCCCAATTGCCCTCCCCTGCCAGCCATCTTGTGACCACATGGGGGCGGCCATCTTGTGTGTTAGAGTGATGGTCAATTTGCATATTGCCTCTTTATTATATAGGATTGTCTCTATAGGTCTCCTTTGCACTTCCACCATCCCTGGAGACCACTAAAGTTCTCAAATTACAGAATAAAAATTTGATGAGACCGCCCATGTTTTCATGATTCTTCTCTTTTCCAGCCTCAACTTATTTTGGTTCTTGCACATTTGACAAATATATCTTCTATGTTTATAGCCATTAATAAAATTATTAAAGACAAGTGGACAAAGATACTTTGATTAGCACCAGAATGCTTCCTTCCAAGCTGCCATTGGTTGAGTAACTTTTTAAAATATATATATATTTATTGATTTCAGAGAGGAAAGGAGAAGAAAGAGAGATAGAAACATCAATGATGAGAGAGAATCATTGATTGGCTGCCTCCTCCATGCCCCCTACTGGGGATCGAGCCCGACGCTGACATGTGCCCTGACCTGGAATTGAATTATGACCCCCTGGGTCATAGGTCAATGCTCAACCACTGAGTTACACCGGCTGGGCAAATATCTTGAATTTATCTAAAGGCCATCTATAATTTCTCCATTATGAGTTTGTATCCAGTGGCAGTCAAAATTAATATACAGTTGTTGTCCATGCCTTTCCCCTAAAAGGCAGTGGGTATAACTAGTTAAGATAATAACTGTTC